GACGTCGCGAAGGGAAGCGGGATTCGGAGTCGACCGATGAGGCTTGGTGATACAGGGTATGGTATGGACGTGTAGAAGAGAGCGATGCTGCTTGCCAGCGGAGGTGTTCTGGCCAACATCAAGACACGTCCAGGTTATCTGGAGGGGTTCGGATTTCAGACGAAGGAGGGGCACGCGCACAAGGCAGGAAGAGGAAGAAGCACTGTACCAGAATAGGTAAGCCCAGTGCAGGCGTGCATCTACAGCGGGTCAACGATAGCTGCAGTGACGAATGAGCGCTCCAAGACCAGTCGGATAAGGAAGCTGCTTGAGCCAAACCTTCCTCGCAAGACGGCACAGCGGGGTCGAAAACCGACAGTGCAATCGCCGACCGTTATTACGTAAGTGCACTGTATGTTTCACTCTTTGTATCTTTATGTAAGCAGCTGTCTCCCGCTCTCATGGCTGACAGTGGCGGACAGGCAGCGTCACTTGGTTAACACCTACGTGAAGAACAGAGAAACAAGTGTAAAGTCTCCATGCAGCTATGTCCTTCCAATCATTATCCCTACTCAGTTGGTGGATTACGAGGCATTTGTAACTCGTAAAAATTAGGCGCGGTAGTAAAAGGCCTGCATGGACAATCATACAACAGCCGTATGACTCTATGGTTCTAGCTCCACAGCTCTTTGTAACGGCAAACGTGGTAGTTGCACAGCAGGCTGACCCTATGCTCCAACCCTTAGTTTCCCTAAGATTTGAATCGAGAGATATATCATTAGGTTTTTAAAACCGGTTGTTTGAGAGAGCCGAAATGTTAGTCAGTCAATACTCGAGTATGGAGCGTAACATGCACGATTCCTTATCTACGTATGCATAGGTTTTAGATTGGATTCTGTTTTTTTGTACTCTGTACATGTGCCTTAGATGCGGCTCTCTGAAGTGAATAGAACTATGAGTCATAACAGTCCTCCTTCTAGGTATCCATACTGTGATCATTGTACTGTGGTCTTCGCACCTACGCAAATTCCATATAGATATCAAGTCCGTCTACTCTTCGAGTAGTAATGCATTCACTGGGACATTCAAGAAAGGCCGGCTTGAAAATGCAGGGTCAGGCTTCGAGGAGACAATCGCCGAGTCGGAAGATGCCATGACCTAGAAGCTACTTGTCGGTGTACGTTGAAATTGGGTATTTTTTTCCGAACGCCGGCATAGATGTACCTGTTCATAACATTCTAGAAAGACAGTTCTTACCTACTCCATCTTGCTGCGCGTGGGACGTCATCATGAGATGATTGACCGCCATCAGGGGGGAGCCTACAGACCAGGGTGTTCTCCGCATGGAAGCTGTCATGTGGGGAACTAGAGAATGGTTGAACGGACCTGCTCGACAACTCACCAGTAGGTAATAACACTACCACCCGGGTGACAATCTACGAGGGAAAGCTAAGCATACACTAGAGCATTGCCAATGAAACGGACTATTGCCCGCAGAGAGCGTTCCATGTCGCTTCTGACTAGCTACATGCCAAGACTCAACTACCCCTCATCTGCAATTATTTTATTTTTTTCTAGGCTATAGCCGGAAGAACAAGACCATGTGCCGTAAGGGAAGAAGCAAGATCGGGGTTGCCGTTAGCTCGCAGAACGTTGCATCCGCCGATATTGACTGCGGAGAAGCTGGGGAGAAAGTGGGGAGGCGCAGCGGGAAACTGGCGGGAAACTGAAAAACTAACGCAGAACCAACCTGCAGGTTAGTCTTTTCTCCTTATGGTGCAAGGGTGGTGTTTAACTGGAGGTGGAAACTCTCACTGCTGATCTCTAATGGGAACTGCCGATAATTTTGGCGAAGCTTTCGTGATCAGTTGGTTTAGCCAACATATCACAACAAGCTCGGCGTGCCCCCGCTTTTGCAGACGAGAGATGATATAAATACCAGAACCTCAGCTGTCACAAGTCTGAAGGACAGTTCAGGCTTTTGATAATATTTTGGCCTTAAGGAAAAGTCAATCTTGGTTTATTTCTGGTTGAGAGTTCCAACCTCATGCAAAATGACTGGATATTGTCTGTTTATTCGTCTCGTCATTGCGGCTTTCGCGGCAGTTCTCACCGGTCGAGTATCAGCACAGAACTCGTCGGTAAATGGTATGAGAAAACTACCCCAGCCTGAGTTACGAAAATTGACACTGTACAGGCATCGTCGTAGACGGCAAGTCCTTTGCTCTCAATGGCGACCACTCCTCTTACCGCTTCCATGTGGACGAGCTTACAGGTGACCTCTACTCTGACCACTTTGGAGGCCCGGCTACAGAGAGCATGGCCATGCTGCCTCCTGCTATCAATGGCTGGGTTGGCATGATGGGCCGTGTCAGACGGGAGTATCCCGATCTTGGCCGTGGTGATTTCCGCGTCCCCGCGCTGCAAATCCGCCAGTCTGAGGGATACACCGTCAGCGATCTCCAATATCGATCCCACCAAGTCTCTCAAGGAAAGCCCGGTTTGCCTGGTCTACCTGCGACCTTTGGCAATGAGGATGAAGTCTCTACCCTAACCGTCTCCCTGTACGACAACTATAGCTCTATAGCCGTTGACCTCTCATACTCTATCTTCCCCAAGTACGACGCCATTGTGAGAAGCGTCAACATCACAAATGAAGGCCAGGGCAACATCACTATCGACAAGGCCGCAAGCCTCAGCATTGACTTGCCATTTGGAGACATGGAAATGATCGAGTTGAGAGGAGATTGGGCACGGGAGGCCATGAGACTTCGCCGGAAAGTCGACTACGGGACACAGGGGTGCGTGCAAATGACAAGAATACGAGCTTTACGTGCCCATTCATTAACCCAAAAATCTCACTTAGATTCGGGAGCACAACTGGCTACTCGTCCCATCTACACAATCCGTTTCTGGCGCTCGTATCTCCAGAGACCACCGAGTCCCAGGGCGAAGCCTGGGGGTTCTCTCTCGTTTACACAGGCTCTTTCTCCGTTGAGGTTGAGAAAGGATCTCAAGGTTTCACTCGTGCCATGCTCGGCTTCAACCCCTACCAGCTTTCTTGGCCTCTCGGACCGGGGGAGACCCTCACCACTCCGGAAGTCGTCGCCGTGTACTCGCAAACGGGAATCGGTGGCTTGTCGCGGAAATACCACCGTCTCTACCGGAATCATCTCATGAGGGGCCAGTACGTTGATCAAACTCGTCCAGCATTGCTTAATAGCTGGGAGGGCCTCTACTTTGATTACAATGCGAGCACGATCTATGAATTAGCACAGGAAGCGGCCCAGCTCGGTGTCAAGCTTTTTGTTCTGGATGACGGGTGGTTTGGCAAAGAGTATCCCCGGATAAACGACACCGCTGGTCTCGGCGACTGGGCGTTCAACCCGGACCGCTTTCCTGATGGTATGCCCGCTCTCGTCAACAAGGTTGTTGATCTCGAAGTCGCGAACTCGTCGGACAAGCTGCGTTTCGGCCTCTGGTTCGAGCCCGAGATGGTTAATCCCAACTCGACTCTTTACCAGGCTCATCCAGACTGGGTTCTTCATGCAGGCAACTATCCCCGGACAGAAAGGCGGAGCCAACTTGTGCTCAATGTGGCGCTTCCTGAGGTCCAAGAGTTCATTATTGAGTCGGTCTCGAACATTCTCTCAAGCGCTCCTATTTCATACGTCAAATGGGACAACAACAGGGGCTTCCACGAAACCCCTGCTCCAGGCATCAGTCACTCTTATATGCTGGGCATATACCATGTTTTCGAGGTTCTCACATCTCGGTTCCCGGATGTGCTTTGGGAAGGCTGTGCATCCGGCGGTGGTCGTTTCGACCCCGGCATTCTTCATTACTTCCCCCAAATATGGACATCCGACAACACAGACGCTTTGGACCGCATCTTTATCCAGTTTGGTACATCCCTGGCGTACCCGCCCGCTGCCATGGGAGCGCACGTCTCGGCGGTGCCCAACCACCTCACCGGACGGACAATCCCCATCAAGTTCCGCGCACATGTGGCCATGATGGGCGGATCCTTCGGTCTCGAGCTGAACCCAGCAGATATTTCCAAGGAGGATAAGGCGCAGATTCCGGGTCTGATGGCACTCAGCGAGCGTGTCAACCCAATTGTCATTAGGGGTGATTTATGGCGCCTCAGCCTTCCGGAAGACTCGAACTGGCCGGCCGCGATGGTCATCTCAGAGGACGGTTCGCAGGCGGTCCTTTTCTACTTCCAGATCCGCTCATTATATAACCACGCCTTTCCACGACTCCGCCTGCAAGGACTAGACCCGGAAGAATCCTACACGTTGGACAACAACGGAACTTACTCCGGAGCCACGTTGATGAGCACCGGAGTGCAGTATGATTTCGAAGGGGACTACGATAGCCGCGTTGTGATGATCCAGAGAGTTTGAGCGATGACTTTCAAAGTTCGCATCAGTCCTTTGCATCAAATTAAGACTAAATATATGAGCTAGTAATTAATATCCGTATCTAGAAGGGGATGGAAGGGACTAGGATCACTTGAATAGATTTATCCTAACGGCCTTCATTCCCTCAGAGCTTAGTCTGCATTCCGTCCTCATAATTGATATTCCACAGCTATGCCATGCCATTCAAGGGTTTAGAAATTGGTTAAATGAGATGTTGCCGCGCTGGTTTCTGAATCAAGGCTTTGAGAGGCTATATAGTCCTTTAAGGAAATGTTCGCAAATCACTACATATTTGAGGTTAGAGTGAAATATTATGAAGACGCCCGGAGCCATTCTTACTCGGTGCAAGACAATATTAAGTTTAACGGCACCGGTAATTTCGCTGAAAAGTCTTTCCAGCTGAAAATAAAACAGAGTGAGGGCAAACCGGTAAATAAAAGTGACATGCAGGATGTATTAGATGTTTTGGTTTGTACATTTCTTGAGAGCAGATCACGGTTTATGGACTTATGTATGCTCCTGCGTAGGGGCATGCCTCATGTCGTCCACACTATTACACAGACAAGGACTGTTGATAAACCATCCATAAAATATATCCCTGTTGAGTCTAGTGCACCTCCTCTGATCTTGATCTTGATTTGCTCTCTTGCTTTCTTTTCGTTGTCTTATGAGAGTGACCCATCTCCTTGTCTTACAGGGTCCATGTCTTACTTAAGCTTTCCATGCAGTGGGAGAGCTGGCGGGCAAGAACTAGCCGAAGCCACGATGCGCGCGCACTTGCGTCTCCAAGCTCCAACTTTTTTGTCCCTCTCCAATTTCGACCCACCAACTATCCGTCCTCCACCTGTTCGTCGACGCGCCATTCCCAAAGTCAACGTCCACATTTCACCCGCCTCTGTGGACTATCGCTTGTCTCCCTCGTGGCATTGACATGGCGCCGAGGAGGCTCAAATCTCCAGGGCGCAATGGTGATGCTTGCCCACCCCTCCATCGTGGACCAGGTCCCCTTCAACCATGACCTCCATCTGGCCAAACGAGGCGTTTTGGCCGCATTCAAGCAAACCCAGATGACACCTGTTTCCAGTTCCAAATCTTGGTTTGTACTCGACAGGATGATCACGTCTACCCTTTGCATTCGAAAGGGCCGTCATTGTTTCACGCAACAGCTAAACCAATCCAGGTCGTCGTGACGAGGGCACCGAAGGATGCACCCCCGGGCTACCTCCTGTAAAAGGTGGGCCAAGCAACGCCGCCCTTGTGACGTATTTTCAGGGCACGGCTCAATCACCTCGCCTCCTGCGGGCGAATCCTCCCGTGCAAAGCCAACATAGATGGCCTTGTGACGAACGGAAGCAAATACAGTCCGCCGTCCAACCAAAGGCCCGTCTTTTTAATTTCGACCACCGGCAAGCAGGCAGCACTGCCACCTCCGCCATCGTCAGAGCCAAGATATGACCAACAACATTCAGGTCATCAGGTGGCGCTGGTGCCGCCCAACAATACGGATCACGAAGTCGAGAAGGGCTGCGGACACTGCCCGAGGTTCAAAGCTAGCTGGGTCTCTAAGCCGAGGGGTTGGTGGGGAAAGCAGAGGGCAGAAGAACGCTGCCAGCATCCCAACATGCGACTGGCATCTGATTTGTCCCCGTCAGGTTACAACAAGCCCCACTGAGGAAACGCGTGCTCTCGCTTCTCCAGTGTCCTTGCGTTCTTCCCCGACCTTGGCCGCCAAACCCACAAAATCCCCAAGGGGAATTATTGGACCGCCCTGTCCACTGTTGTGCCGCTCGAATCACTTCACAATCCGCCTAAGGCAAGCCTCTTACATTAACCTTCCGGCGTTCTTCCCGCAACATTTGGACCTGTTACCGACTGTTGCGCGAAAGAGGGACGACAGGATGGGTTTGCGTGCGAGTATCCGCAGTAACCACGCTTCGATGAGCGCACCATTGAGGCTTCGATGACGGTTAGTGACCCTGCAGGAAGGCGCACCCCTACCGCAGCAACCGGAACAGTGGACTAGCCTCTCGAATCGCACGCACACTTCACAAAAATATCCAATTCCACCGGGTTCGCTCAGATCTCTGTCTAGGATCATCTCCTCGCCTGACAATAATTGCCTTGAGTCCAGATATCTCCGCAAAGCCCAGTCGCTTGGCGCGCTGCATCCCATTTTGTACGGTTACACAGAAGGTCGAGGCTGTTTACTGCGCGGTCAGCTTGTCCGACAAGGCCCATTCAGGCTGTTCAAACATAGCCTGACCACTGGTACTGTTTGTCAAAACCGCGGCAAACATGGTCGGTTGAGAATGTCCAAGCACAAGTAAAGAGGCGCCATCTGTTGGGCCGGCTTGCTTAACCTGTAAAGATCGCGGGCTTGGTTCTGAGCATCACATTGCCCACTGGCTCGACCATCTTCGCTTGCAATTATACTCTCGCCTCGCACCTCGCCTGCTCCTGTTTGAGAAGCAACCCCACCGCCGCCCAGCCTCTTGTACTGCCGTATGCCGGCCAACAATTCTTGGTATGGCGGGTCGCAATATCGAATCAGCGCTTCTCGTTGCCCAAGTCGAGTCTGCCGCCCACCATAGCCGTTCGAGAACCATCCAACTGCACCCGGCTTTTACTCGTTGACGGGGCCAGCAACGTTCCATATTACGCCGCTTCAACCAACCGTTTGGTAGTCTCAGTGATTCATTAGCGCTTGGAAGGTACAGGTACGTACCAATGGGTCATAAAATCAGGACCTGATAGTCAGCACTGAGGGGGTGTTTTCCCTTCTGCATCATCATTAGCAACAATCAAATTGACCTTTGTTTTGGTCCAATTCATTCAGGACCCATTTTCTGCGCTGTCGCGGCCCACCGACTGCCCCGTTCATATCTCTACTTCCGTCCAATACAGCTCAGCATCGATTTGGCTTTGGCCCTTTGAGATTCTAGTCTCTGTGTGCTGTGCTGTGCCTGAGCCTGAGTCGGCTTAAAAGCCTCTACCCCGCAAGGAACCCCAACCGCCACCCTCCGCCTTTCCCCGGCCACTACGGAGTACTCCGCTCCCCCAATGCCTCTCTCGCCCGCACCACTGCAGCTTGACCCAGGCGGCTCAGGCTCGGCAGTCTGCCTAATGTCGGTCCGATACGGCGATTCCCTGGAGACTTCCCACGAGACACTAAATAAGACACGAAACACACCAGCCAATGGCACTCCCCCGTTTCCTTGGATTTTTCCTGCTCTGCTTACAGCCCCTCCCTCTTTTCTCTCCGAATGACGTAGGACAAGCCTTACTGTATACTGTATAAACACAGAGGTATCTTGCATACAAGGATTCTTTCTGCCGAGCATAGGTGGGAGGCAACCTTTCTGTGCGCAAACATGTCTGTTATGATTCAGTCCTGCTACCTGCCGCGAACCACGAATACTGTTGTGCAAATGGGGCGGTCAAAAACTGGGTAGCAACTTTCTGTGCTGCCCCAGGGGATGTCAAGTCGGTTCAAGCTCATTTGAGCCCACTCAAGCCTTCAGGCGTACGGTTAGTTGCGCTCTCGGCGGGGGGCTTTGTGGACAAAAGGGAACGCGAAGCCTCGACGATCAAGCTTGGAGCCTGTGTCCCTGCTTGTTGTCTAACCTCCCCCGCGGTGAGCCTTCAGGGATGGTTCTATGGCTTTCCGCAGTGGCCGAAAGGCTATGAATGCGCCAAGCGCTTGGCTCTCTCGATCAATTCTCACCATTGTGGGACGGGTGCAACTGGACGAACGACTCAGATGCCTTCAATTTTCTGCACGTTACATTACGAGGCACCAGGACGACCAAGTTCGACAAGGAACCTGCGCATGTGTCACCTGAACAGTAACTGTTCCCTTTCATCGCCTCCCTTGAGATCGTTATCACAGACCCAGCCCACACTCTGCCCACTCAGCAATTCGCCCGGAACTCCTGGCGCGAGTCGAATCCTCGTTGACGCGGGCCATGGGCAGAAGAGGAAAGAGCAACGTCTACAAACCGCCAAGCCGTCGACTGGCAAAGTTGAGTGCCTAGTAACGCATCATCAGGCCAACAGACAAACAAGTTCAATGGAGAGACTGGGCTCGCAGGAGGATCCCTCGTCTTCGCGTAGGGCAGCCTTGGCTAACAGCTTGGTTGCCCCTTGATCCAAACCAGCCTTTCGCGTTTCGCAGGACTAACGCCGAAATGTCGAAGCTTATGCAAAGTGTGCGGGGACGCCAAGAAGATTGCTTCAATTTCTGGCAGAGGATCATCGGCTGTTTTAATATGACCCGATAAGGCGGCTGAGGGGTGGGCTGGAAGCTATAAAGATCCATGGCCTACCATGCTGCATGCCCTTGCCCACGTCTTCTTCTGGTTCTACAAACGCTCTGTGCTTCCATTGAGTTGTGAGGCCATACCAGACGTCGTCACGCGTAAATCCTTGCCGCGTGAGCCACAAACAACATTATAAGAGCAAGGAGCAACACGTTGCCTATTGCGTGGCCAACATGGCTGATAAGATCAACCTCGAGGGGTAAGTCCTTCACAATCCACCTTCAAGACAGAGGGCATGCTTACACAACGGCCTTCACAGTGAAAAGGTAGCCGACGTCTCCGGGCACCATAAGGAGCGCGGAACTGGCCAGCCCGACCCTATCGAGCTGAGCCATAACATCGAGGCGAAGTAAGACGACTCCATATTATCCTGGAAGCTTGGTGGCTAACAACGCCTGCCTAGAATCAAGAACCCACTGGAGGGAATCGGGTACGACCAGCTCATGCGCGATGTTGAGGTCTTCTGCCGAGACCACGGCCTCCAGGAGGAGATCGCCGTATTCCGCAAAGGCGCCCTGGTTGCCCAAGACCCGGAGAACTACGAGAACATTGGCGGCACCGAAGCCCTTGACGAGGCCGAAATCAAGGCGCTCCGTGAAGAGGTTACACACAAGTGGCGCTTGCCTAAGAAGCTCTACATGACCATCATCACTTGTTCCATTGGTGCTGCTGTCCAGGGATGGGATCAGACCGGTACCAACGGCGCCAACATCTTCTTCCCCGCAGAATATGGTATCGAGTCCAACAGTACTCGAGACCGTCTCATCTTGGGTCTTGTGAACGCGGGCCCTTACATTGGATCAGCGTAAGTGGTGCTCTCGAGTCCATGGTCGGAATCATGAACTAACCCTGACCAGTCTCTGTGGCTGCTGGCTGTCTGATCCTCTCAACCATTACTTCGGTCGCCGCGGTGTCATCTTTTTCTCTGCCCACTTCTGCATCTGGCCTCTCATCGGTTCTGCCTTCAGCCATAACTGGCAACAGCAGCTTGCGAACCGTCTTCTCATGGGAATTGGTATGGGCGCCAAAGCTTCAACGGTCCCCATCTATGCCGCCGAGAACTCCCCGCCGTCTATCCGTGGTGCTCTTGTCATGTCTTGGCAGATGTGGACTGCCTTCGGTATCGCATTGGGGACAGCATTTAACTTGGCCGTTTACTATGCCAAGTACAACTGGCGCCTCATGCTTGGTAAGTCGAAGAGTGAACCCCCGTATCTATTCCACATATGACTGACGCTGGCTCTTTAGGTGCTCCGTTCATTCCCGCCGTCCCTCTCCTCCTGTTGATCTACTTGTGCCCCGAGTCGCCTCGTTGGCTCATGAAGAAGGGTCGCTACCACGATGCGTGGAAGTCCATGATTCAGCTCCGACACAATCCGATCCAATGTTCTCGAGACATGTACGCTATCCATGCTCAGCTGCAGCTCGAGGATCAGGTATTGGGCAAGAGCAATTACTTCAGCCGCTTCAAGGAACTCTTCACCATCCCTCGTGTGCGCCGAGCCAACCTGGCCGCTTTCACCGTCATGATCGCGCAGCAGATGTGCGGTAAGTAACAGCCACCGTGTTGAACCAGTCGAAGAGTTGGTATCTAACAAGCAGCCGCACAGGTATCAACATCATCGCATTCTACTCTACCACCATCTTCAAGGAGGCTAAGATGGGCGACTTCGAGGCCCTACTCGGCTCGTTCGGCTTTGGCATGGTCAACTGGCTGTTTGCCTTCCCTGCCTTCTGGACTATCGACACCTTTGGCCGACGATCTCTACTTTTGTTCACCTTCCCCCAGATGACCTGGACCCTCTTGGCAGCTGGTCTCTGTACCCTGATCGCCCCCGGTATCACTCGGACTGCACTGGTGTCCCTCTTCGTCTATCTCTTCGGTGCCTTTTACTCCCCTGGAGAAGGCCCCGTGCCATTCACCTATTCGGCCGAGGTCTACCCCCTGTCTCACCGTGAGATGGGCATGGGTTTCGCCGTCGCGACATGTCTGTTCTGGGCT